CGCACTGGCTCCTTATCTATCAATAACATCTCAGGCAGGAACCCTTACCTTCTCTCCTTGACGTCGTGTTTTCATACTGTTCTGGAATCGTAGCATATCTATAGGATTTGAATAAGGGCAATCTTATCCCTTTCTCATTCTTATCACATTCTTCCTTTATTAATCCATAGTTACTAGAACCACTTAATTCTTACTTAATACCACATCACTCCATATTCTCTCCTTTAGGCGAGTACTAAGAGTTGGAGCTATGACGACCTACCTATATATGTTTTACCTCTTCATCTTTGGCATCCTTTCACATCATCAATGACCTTTACTCGCCTAGCAGTAATCCTTCTGTACCAAGGATAACAAAATTCCTCAGTCGCGAGGGTGACACTTAGTGTAACCGGCACATACAGTCAAGCTTAACTTTGCTCACCTTGCTTGCTTCTTCCTGAATGACCATTAAAGGGTATTCTTCTGTCCTCTATTCTATCATCGCCGAGATGCAATCTCTGAAATTTTCATGATGCTGACTATTACTCAGTCCCTAGTTCATGTTTAGTTTACCTTGATCATTAGTCCATACTGATTTCTATTACTCTGGGGTCTAACTTTTCCTTCTGGTAGTCGCGTTGGAGTCACAAGCTTATTTCTCGAAATGAGGATATGACTTTATGGCCTATATTCTTTTGTTATCTCAAGGCCTGTCACCTCTCGTCTTTTCCTTCACTTGACTATAGACTCTGTAATACTGTCATCTTTTGATCTACCGTTGTCATCCATGTATCATATAATTCTTCATTAACTCTTTTCTTATTTCCCGCTAATATTTATGTCTATCATTTTATTCTAAAAACTCGAATAAGACATTCTTTTATTCTTAGCTCCCCTTTGCTCCATCCAGTGGCTCTTCGAGTTGCTTAACGTTCTCGCTCTACTAGGGACGCGAGCCACACTAAGGTAATATTTATCCCTTCCAGGCTTCCAGTGCCTATCTTTGTAGTACTCATATCTAGTTGTACTATTTTAGAGTGCACCATCTGGGTGTCTCACAAGGAGATCTATTACCACATTAGCAATACCCTTTGGAAATGTCAACTAACACAAACAATCCATTCACCATTTTGGGTTACTCTAACCTTAGTCGGATCCTGATATCCCGTGCTTCTCTTAAACTACACTTGTCAGCCCCCATAGGGCATAACTGAAATGGGTGTGATCAATTGTATATATCTCTGTTACTGTTAAAGGTAACTCAGAATGCTTATATTCCTCTGCCTGAATTGTAAATACCGATAATCTTCATTAACTTGGTATCTCGTACCCTTCTCACCTTGCTCCTTTTACTTGTTGAAGCTTGTGATAACCTTCTGAATCTCTTGTTGCTTTTTATCATATGGGTGGACATATATGCATGCCTTAGGGCTCCCTTTCTAGAAGCTCACACGTCTTAGTGTGTACATGATCTGCTAGAGACGTTATATTTACTTATAATAAGCATGATGCAAAATCAAGTTCCTCTGGCTCAACCCTTCCACAGCCGCATTCAATTCCTTACCAACCGTCTTTCTAGATGTAGTCATCGTCTTATTATGAATAAGATAGAGTTTAGGAACTTGAGTTCTTACAACTGAGCTCTAGCACACGATCTAGAGTAAGAAGAAAGAGTGACAGTCCTAAATTCCCTGTAGCCTCCTGCTTATAAGTGTGGTGCACAACACACCCATAAACAAGACTCTACTAGACAAGGCTTGTAGACTCCCTAGGACAGAACTGCTCTGATACCACTTTTGTCACGACCCAAACCGATGGGCCGCGACGGGCACTCGGTACCTTACTCAACCGAGTAACAACATAGCATATCATTCTTATCGTACTTTCATTGGCAAATGGGGCAAACAGGCCATCATGGGCTAGCCAGAATGAACATGGGGGAGTATTCAATATAGAACGACCCAACCTGATATGAAAACTTACACATGTGACATACGGGCCTATAAGGCCAACATGATCATTTGTAAACTCAAAACATAGGCCGACAAGGCCATACAATCTTTCATATATCTGACATCCGTCTACAAGCCTCTAAGAATACATAAATATCATAAAGGTCGGGACTGAGCCCCACCATACCAATAAATACATGCCCTAATTATACTGACCAAATAAGCAACTCCAGAGTAAATGGAGTGCACCAACATCTTCTGCTGAGCTGATAGCCTACTTGGAAAAATCTTGACTTGTCTATCGGGACCTACGGTCATGAAACGCAGCATCCCCAGGCAAAAGGAACGTCAGTACAAATAATGTACCGAGTATGTAAGGAATGGAAATCAGTAAATAATAGACATGAGAGAAACATAGAGTAAAAGACTCGACATGTACGTGTGCATAGCTCTGTGAATCATTTCATTTTTATAATATCATGCAATTGCGTATAAATGTCATACCATGCATAGGTATATGCGTTCATAACATCATCAAGCCTCTGAGGGCATCCCATCATATTATTTCGGCCATTATGGGCAAATCATCAACGTATACCAGCTGATCAGATGGTGGTGCGTATATAACGCCGTAACCTTTTTCCATATCCCATATACATATAATATATATATATATATATATATATATACGCGTATATAATGCCGTCTGGTCATGGGTCAATGTAAATGAATGCAATGCATGAGAAGTACGTCAATAAAATCTTTCAGAGTGACATAAGAGCATTATACCTTTTGTTCAATATCATGAAATAAACTTTATCAACTAAAGTATTTTCTGAGACCCATGAACAGACAATAGAATAATAAGACATATGGGAATTCAAGAACATAGACATCTCTAATACTTCTATGAATAGAGTCATTTATGGAATTTTGTGCATTTGCTCATTTCGTTCGTGTCGTATAGATCACGCCAAAAAGAAAGAAGGGATAGCCTTAACATACCTAAAGTAGGGAAAATCTGTGTGATATTCTTGAGAAGGTTTACACCGTACTCCCTTAAAATTACAAAATTTCTATTCGATTTATTAAAGATCCGTACCCTTCTATGTTAGCTTCAGATTGCTTTCAACGTTGGCTTCACGTTGCAGTGAAAAGTCTTCTAGTGTCAGCACCAACAGAAGCAAAAATAGGATTTACATGCACGCTTGGTTTATAAATTTCAGAAACTTCAATTGCATCCAACGTCACAATAGACTTATATGATGGCTTGACAAGAATTTTGTTGAAAACTTTGTAGGAAAATTCTAACGCCTAGTAGTGTCCTTATACTCAAAATATGAGAATGAAATATTTTTGTATTTTAACCCATTACTTTTACAAGTAAAATATTAGGAATGATGTGTTTTCTTATTAACTCATTACTTGCCATTACTTGACACCTAGCCAAAATGACTAAGAGTCATTTGGTTAAGAATTGGCTTACTGACACGTGGGGGTGGGGTGGGGATTTTAAATCTTTATCTACTAATTTATTAATAAATTAGGTAATATTCTGCTACCCGATAATTAACCAATTACCCACATAATTAAGAATTACCTTAAATTACTTATAATACCACTCACTTTCAACATACTTTATATACCTTACTATCATGGTCATGTGGTACCTTGTATGGCACTAGTCCATAAATACCGAGTGTTTTAGCTAAGGCCGTATTTTAACCCAAAATGTCAAACTTTGACGAAATTCATTTTCTTCGATTTGCTTACCCTCTCACCTTCACGAATTTACTTATCACTTGTTTGAAATAGCATAATGCTTACAATCTCAAAATAATCTTATTCTCAAACTTACGTCGATTAACTTATGACAAACTTTATCGTACGAAAATGCTGGATGTTACATCTCATTTTTGAGCTTCTATTAATTTATTCATGGCTCACTTTCACGTACGAAAACATGGGGTGTAACTAATCGGGTTGCGAGGCATTTATCCCTATGCTCCTATAAGGGTAGTGAGACAGGCAGGAAGAAAACAGGTCATACCTCGGGTTTCCAACATGGTCTAGTACAAGGCAGATTTCAAAGGGGATATCATTCCTTTCAAGTTCGAGGTGCAACATATGTGGAACCAGAAGGTCATTGTGGAAAGAGAGACTATCGAGCCAGATAGGTACCATGTCGGTCATGTGTATTTCTATCCATCATGGTTGGTAGATGATATAGCGGGATACGTCAAGCCAGGGGTCAATTTGGAAAATAGGATCATTGATGATGCTGTTGAGGCACAGGTCATGTATAGAAGTCTTCGCAAAAGGGTTTTCGAGTCTAAAGCTAGACATCTGGAATAACATAAAGTGGACATGGAGGCAATTAAGGAATAGAAGGAAATCGCCATTAAGTCCACCAAGAGATTGGAATATCTAGAACAAGGACTGATGGAGCTTGAGGAAAAGATGAGAAAGAGGCTTGCTGATTGTCAGAACACAGATGGCAGTGAAGGAGGGCATCTAGAAAAAGCTTATTTATTATTGGATATGTGCAACTTGGGGAACTTGATTGATGGAGTCAAAAGAGCCAAACACGGAGAAGGTCCATCAGGGACCAAGTAGACTAGCAAATAATGTCCTTTATTGTTTTCTAGCCTAGTTTTAGATTTCAATTGTAATAAGGCTAAATGCCAATAGTAACTTTATTATTATTGTCGATTTAGTGAAGGTTTGTCTCATTTTCACATTAATGAAATGACACAATTATTGGCATCAATTTTCTCCAAGTCTATGTGTCGCTTAGGCCTACCTCGGGCACAATGAGGTCCCCAAATTAGGACGCGAATTATTACATGATTTTACAAAACATGTTTAATATTGCAAGCTTTCTTTCAATACCCCTTACTAACTTGGGTACCTTTTGCTCTGTTTTTTTCTTTCTTTTGATAATTCCCACTTCCCAAGGTTGGTTCGTGCATACTGGCATCGTTAGCATATTACACTAGATCCATAGGTCCTCCACATTCTCCCCCACCAAGCGATCCTAAAGGCAAAAGCAAAGGGAAAGGGAAAATGGATGATTTGAGTGGTATCGGGAAAGACAACGCCACCCTGGCAGAAAATGTCGAAACTTCGGATGGACGAAGTACTACGGCACAGAATGAACTAGTCTTACATCTGGAAAAGAAAATCCTGGAGCTACAAGGAGAACTTGAGCAGGTCCGAAACTTGGCAAACCTTTCTCTCACCCTCAATGTCCCTGATATTAACCAGGAAAATCCAACTACCCAAAACCAAGCACCACCACAAAACACACAAAACCAAAATCCACCGCCAAATCCTCCTGCACCACACCAGTACCCCACATCTCCTCAAAACCTTAATCCTCCACCAGCACTTACTCCTCAACAACACCACCATCATCCAACTCCATACCCACAAACTACCACTTATCACACTACCCAGAATGCACCGCAACCCACTCCTGATCCACAAAACTCAACCAATGACCACCCTTATGCCTAGATTCCCGGAGTTTATCAAAGTAATCCCATATACGTGGAAACCTTACCCCACACTTGAATCAACCGAGAAAGACCTGCTCATTAAGAACATGGCGGAAGAACTCAAGAAGCTCACTGGAAGAGTTCATAGTGTCAAAGGTGGTAAAGGCATTGAAGGTTTAAACTATGAGGACCTGGGCATTCAGCCAGATGTGGAACTATCGGAGGGTTACAAACCTCCCAAGTTCGAAATATTCGATGGAACTGGTGATCCGAAAGTGCCTCTGAGGACATATTGTGACAAACTTGTAGGAGTGGGCAAAGATGAATGAATCTGTATGAAACTGTTCAATGGAAGCCTCACCAGAGATGCGTTGTCTTGGTATATCAGTTAGAACCCTAAGAAGTGGGTTAATTGGGTAAGCATGGCGTCATATTTCATGGACAGATTCAGGTTCAACACAGAGAACGCACCAGACATTTTCTACATTCAAAACCTCAAGAAGAAACCAGCAGAAACCTTTCGTGAATATGTTACTCGGTGAAGATCTGAAGCCGCAAAAGTAAGGCCCGCACTTAAAGAAGAACAAATGAATAAGTTCTTTGTCAGATCTCAAAACCCGCAGTACTATGAAAGTCTTATGGTTATTGAAAATCACAAATTCTCCGATATCATCAAGTTGGGAAAAAGAATAGAAGAAGGGATTCAGAGTGGGATGGTGACATATTTTGAGGCACTGCAGGCCACGAATAAAGAATTGCAATCGGGAGATATTTTGAAGAAGAAAGAAGTGGGAGCCGTAATGGTGGCCCAGGGTCCTAAGTCTCCTCTCACATACCAAATACCTCCACCCACATACCAGCCTTCACCCCCAGATACCGACAACCTGCTACCACCTACCACGCCTATAACACTCAACCCGCATACTACCACTCGCCACCACCCGCCCGCCAAAACTATCAAAAACCATGATCAAACTTCAACTGCAGACCACCTAGACAATACACTCCAATCGCTGAGCCCATAGACCAATTATATGAGAGATTGAAGGTTGTTGGTTATGTCACTCCCATCCCTGCCGTTGCTATGGAGAATTACTCTTAGTGGATTAACCCGAACAAGACATGCGCATATCATTTAGGAATGAAGGGTCATACAATTGATGAGTGCCGCACACTGAAAGATAAGATTCAGACACTGATCGGCAACAAGGTCATACATGCAAAGGAAGTTGCACCAAATGTTCGTAACAATCCTCTCCCGGATCACAGAGGTGAGGGAGTGGATGTGATAGAGCCAACGAGGAATAGGATCCGGAGGGGTCAATCTTACTCATTCGGGAGGGGGATGATCCTAAAACATCTATGGTCACCCTCATACCCGTTGTGGTACAAACCCAAGCACCGTTTGAAGTCGAGGTAACTACACCCTTCACTGTGATGGTAGCCCTAACAGCATCTTACAAGTCTGATGCTATCCCATGGGATTATGTTGTGGAAGCAAGGAGAAAAGGAAAAGCAAAAATGGAAGAAACAGGTGCGGCGCAAGGCATGACTAGAACTGGAAGAATCTATACATCTTAGCACCTGGGAGGAACAAGCAAATAAGCTACATGTTGTTGAGACTGGCCGTGATGACGTTTGGAGAAAGGTACAAGCAAGGGAATACTCTGTCATCGATCATCTGAACAAAACTTCTGCTCAGATATCCATATTGTCACTGCTGCAAAACTCCGAGACACACATGAATGCCTTGATAAAAGTGCTGAGTGAAGCTTATGTACCCACCAACATCACTAGTGGGGAGATAGCCAACATGGTCGGACAGGTACTGGAAAGCCACAAAATCACCTTTCAGGAGGATGAATTACCACTAGAAGGACTAAGTTATAACAGGGCACTACACATCACAGTACAATTTGAGGATAAGTTCATCGCCAGGGTCCTGATAGATGGGGGTCCAAGTCTCAATATATGCTCACTGACTACTCTAAAGTGGTTGGGTAAAGGCCTGTATGAGATATGGATGGGAAGTATGAATGTAAAGGCATTTGATGGATCCCAAAGAGCCACAATCAGAGAAATCAACATCAACCTACAAATGGGCCCTATCTGGTTTGATATTGAGTTCCAAGTTCTAGATATATCTGCTACCTATAATCTATTATTGGGACAACCCTGGATACACGCCGCTGGGGTAGTGGCTTCTACTCTGCATCAGGCTGTGAAGTTTGAATGGAATCATCGAGAAGTGATTATCTATGGGGATGGAAGCAACCCCATCTACACCAATCAGACCGTTCCAGTCATCGAGAATAGGAAGAAGTTGGGTGGAGAAACATACCATCGCATTGAGCAAGTCAACACAATTGAAAAGGATTGACGATGGAGTAACAAGATAGAAAGCATATTACTATGGACAGGATATGAACCTGGCAAGGGTCTCGGCAAAAACCTTCAAGGGATCACCAAACCCGTACAACCGCAGCATCACGGCACAACCTTTGGGCTCGGATATGAATATACTTGGCAAGAGTACCAGGATTGGTTGCCGCCATGGCGTGGTCCTTATTATCTGCTGGAATAACCAGTTCCACCTCTGCACTAGACATTTCATCATCTGACATGATGTGGGGATCTGAGGAAGATGAAGTCTTAGCTGACATGAGGAAACTGTTTCTGGATGAAGAAGATATAGATTGTAGTGCGATAGTTGAGGAGGAGGAGGAGGAGGAAGAAGACCTTACCATTCAGACCGTAGGGAAAGGAGCTGTTCTAAAAAATTGGACTGCCACCATCCCGCGCCCGTCGAGTTCTTGGGTAGCTTGGCAGATTAGCATCAATTATTTTTAAGCATTTGAGATATTTTCAGTATTTTGTTTTGAATAATTATTTGAGTCATCGAACCGCATTTGTTAACGTTTTAAAGATTTCAATTAATGCATTGCTACTTTTCGTATTTACTATTATTCTCTACATTTTGTCCTTTTACAGCATTATTACTACCTATCCCGATGAAGTTGGACTGTGACATGTAATGATACAATGGAAAGTAAGGATAGTGATTCAGAGGACCTGGAAGATAATACGATACATGAGGAAATCATCAGAGAAGTGGAAATTTTTTTAAAACAAGCCAAAGTCCAATTTGGACGAAACTGAAGCAGTTAGTAACTTAGGGGATTCCGAACTGGTTAAGGAAACACACATAAGCATTCATCTATCACCGTTAGAGAAAGAAGAGTACATCAGATTCCTAAAAGAATATGAAGATATCTTTGCATGGTCCTATGACGATATGACGGGTTTGAGCACATTCATAGTAGCTCACAAGTTACACACTAATCCTACATGTCCACCGGTAAAGAAGAAGCTCAGAAAATTCAAGCCGGATATGAGTTTGAAGATAAAAGAGGAGGTCACCAAGCAGATCAAAGCCAAGGTTCTTAGAGTGGTCGAGTACCCGACTTGGTTGGCCAATATCGTGCCAGTTTCGAAGAAAGATGAGAAAGTCAAAGTACAGTGTTGACTACCGAGATCTAAATAGAGCAAGTCCCAAAGATGATTTTCCGTTGCCTAATATATATATATTGATCGACAACTGTGCCAAACATGAACTCCAATCCTTTATGGATTGCTTCGCAGGGTACCATCAGATCTAGATGGATGAGGACAGAAGTGCCACCAATGCTAGATACATTCTGACATGATACGGGTACCACCCAATGAACTCAATGCAACAAGTTCACCTTGGCCTTTCTCGGCTTGGGGTATGGATGTCAAAGGCCCGATCGAACCCGCCGCTTGGAATGGGCATAGATTCATTCTTGTGGCCATAAACTACTTCACAAAATGGGTTGAAGCAGGATCTTACAAAGCTGTAACTAAGAAGGTTGTAGCAGATTTTGTTCGGGACCGCATTGTTTGTCGGTTCGGAGTACCATAGTCAATCATCACCGATAATGCCGCCAATCTCAATAGTGATCTTATGAAGGCCATGGGTGAAACCTTCAAGATCAAGCACAAGAACCCCACATCATACATGCTGCAAATGAACGGAGCCGTAGAAGCCGCCAACAAGAACATCAAGAAGATATTCAGGAAAATGGTAGATAATTACAAATAATCGCACGAGAAGCAGCCGTTTTGCTCTGCTCGGGTATCGTACCATGGTTCGCATGTCAACTGGGGCAACTCCTTACCTATTGGTTTATGGTACTGAAGCGGTTATTCTTGCCGAGGTAGAAATCTCTTCTTTAAGAATTATACAAGAAGCTGAGCTCAGCAATGCAGAATGGGTACAGAGCCGCTACGAACAACTAGCTCTCATGGATGGTAAAAGAATGAATGCGGTGTGTCACAGTCAACTCTATCAGAACAGGATGGCAAGAGCCTTCAACAAACGGGTCAGACCGATGCAATTTACACTGGGGCAATTGGTGTTAAAATGAATCTTCCCACATCAAGATGAAGCTAAGGGGAAGTTTTCACCCAAATGGCAGGGTCCCTATATGGTTCATCAGGTACTGATGGGAGGAGCACTTATACTTGCAGAAATAGACGGAGAGATTTGGCCGAAACCTATCAAGTCAGACGCAGTCAAAAGATACTATGTTTAGGATTGTTCGCGCTTGTTCACTTGATGTAACTGAACTACGCTTGACCTGATTCTCGTTTAAGAGAGGATACGTAGGCAGCCCTGTGGGTTTGGTCATATCTTAATAAAATCTTCATTTTTCCATGATCAGAAACTGGGGCTAGATCGCAAGTTCAGCAAACTTCATCATATGTGGAACAACCAAAAAGCATTGTCAGAAGTATGCATTTAAACTGGGGCAGAATTTTGAGGAGGACCCTCAAAATTCTAAAAACAAGGAGGTTGCAATGTCTCTAAATGTGTCACAGTCACCGGTTCATCTAAATTATTTGATCTCATATACAACAATACATTTTAAGCATCTATATTTTTGCAAATGATTTGTCAAATGCATACATATTTTTTGAAAACTTTATTTCTATGAC